ACTCAGAACGAGTCGGAACCAGTCAGACTTCACGTCAGAAGATGGAGAAACAGCCAGACGGTCAGACGGGACGAAATGAGGGAGCTGTCCGACGACCCCGTCAGAGAAACGAGTCGGGCCGGCCGGTACGTGAGGGCGATTTGACGGCCGATACAGCGCCCGGCGCAATGAACCGTTCATTGGGCGAGGAAGGAGGGCGCCGGCTCACCCGGCGCGAGCCGAGCCTCGTGACCCGCGGAGGCCCATCTCGGTCAGTCAGAAACGCCGCGGTCCGGGAGAAAGGCCGCCCAGCAGCGCCCAGGAAACTCCGGCGCCGCGGCGGATGGCCAGATAACGAGATGAAAGACCGGGGCGGCGCGCAGAAGGGCGGCGGCGCCGATCTCCGTCAGATACGCCCGTCTCGGAGAGACAGAGGTTAAGTGGGAGCGGTCACCTCGGCCACCTCAGCCGCCGCCGCCGGCGGGGAGGTCGGCGATCCGCCCCCGCCCCCGCCGCCGCCCGGAAGCGGCCCGGCGGACACCTGAACAAGCGCTGTCGGCTATTAATACCGGGCGCCGCCGGCGGCGGTAGCGGCCGCGGCAGATGGGTAATGTGACGTCATCGGACGGTGTGGAACGCTCAGCACGACATTGTGCCACGCGTTTTCAACACACACGGGAAGACAATGGAGGCCGGAACAACCCGGGGCGACACCGAGACCGTGTGGAGAAACGGGACAGGAAGTCTCTCGCTCGCAACCGACGCCGGCGCGACGCCCTGCCTGTCCCGCTATGAAACAATGTCTTCCCGTCCCTCCCTCTCCCCCTCACATAAGGTAGATTCAGTGTCATTTGGGAGGGTAGAGGGCTAGAGCCTGTAGCGCACCCGTTCCAACGGCCACACTGAGCAGAACAGCTGATGTAAACGAGCTGGTTCGTCCGCCGTACCGCGCACATGTGCGTCGGAATCGTCGGTTCACCCCTGTACCACCAGCTGGTCGGCCGGAGGTGCGTGTTGAACAACTGAACTACACCGATTGGAGGGAGGGAGGCACATCTGGACTAGGCGCCAGTGCAGTCCGGGGTTCTGTGGTCCCTTCAGCACCGGAGACGTATGGACTTGGTCCGCTGTCACTGGCACAACCGATCGAAAGGTCATTGAATAAACAAACAGTAGGACCAAACAGTCCAACAGTCAGTTTTAGATACACCAGCGCTCTGAACTGGTATCTAAGGCAGGTATATACTACTAGGCTTCCGAACTCTGATGACATGTGTGCACACCGTACACAATGCCGCTCTCATCAGGCTGTCACGGCGAAGGAGGTCGGCTATCACGGCCGGCGTTCCATCCACGTCCGACCATTGTGCGCCGCCAGAGAAACCGATCGCAGCCAGCGCTCCTTTCTCGCCGGCCGCTCGCCATCAATAATTCAGTGGTCCGACCGCCGAATTTGGCGACGTTTCACCTGCGCGGCCGGCAGGTAGCGGTGACGACAGGCCGGTCCGGTCCGGTGACTCTCATAGCGCGGTCTCGGTGACACTGACTGAGACGGCCAACTCTGCAATGCGTAATGGGACACGTGCACCGCACACATGATCGTCCCTGAGCAGCGTTGAAGGCTGTTTGCTCAGCGGCGCCGCGCGGGCCTCTCGGGCCAGCTCGACGACCAGCGGCCTCCGCGGCTCCCCCGACAACAGAGCCAGACCGTAAAACGGGCAGTTCGCAGCTGAGCCAGCCGCCGCGATGGCTTCTGGGCGCCATTACTGCCACTGGCACATAACAAATCGGCCCGAACCGGCCTGGACCGCCCGCGATCATCAACGGGGCCACGGAAGCACGAGAGGCGGGCCTGATTGCAGCTTCGAGCGGGCACCCCGTTTATTCGATCCATGATCGGAGAATCGTGGGGCGTTTGACCTGCCTCTGCGGCGCCCGGCCGATCCATCCGTTCGGCGGGAGGAACAACATCGCTCCGGCAGCGGGGCGGCGTGTTTTTGCAGCGATCTGTCGCCATCAGTGGCACGGCCCGGCTGGCAGCGCCATCAGCCTCGATCGAGGCGATGGATCACCGCGCGGCGACGCTGCGCAGCCGGAGACGTCCTTCCGCCGCCCCCGCCCGCGCCGCAGCCGCGCGCACACGGCAGCTTATTTCCGATGCACCGAAGACCTGCCACAGACGACCGGGCGGCGTCTCGAAACGTCCTCCCGCCACAGAAAAGCGTCGCAGTTCTTTCTGCGCCGGTTTCGGCTCCCCTGCACGACACCGGCAGTGCGGCTGCGGCAGGCGCGGTCGCAGCGGCGGCGGCACAACGAACAGAGAAGAATCGCTCCATTGGCGACCCCCGACTTTCACCGCTGCCGCCGCGGCCGACTGGCGTCCTTGCAATGTCGCGGCCCGACCGCACGCACCGCTGCCGGTTCCCCTCGACCCCAGATCGGGCGGACGCCGCCGGACGGGGCGGAGCGGTCGGCGCCGTGAGAGGTGGCCCCGACAGCCGTCGTCGACGGCCGACACTATCTGCTCCCATCGGACGGGGACGGCAGGGCGGTGGCCCGACAGACGCACACGATAAGTGGATGGAAGTGGGACGACCTGCGGCGGCGCGCGGGCCGCCCGCCGGACACCGGCCGGACGCACACCTGCACGGGAAACCCCTCAAAGCGTCCTCCACCGGCGGAGGAGCGTGTCCACAGTCGCCCAGTCGACCGCCGGGGTCGTAACCGATCCAGAGAAGCCAAAACGGCGCCGCTGGGTCGCCGATGAGCCGCGCACGATCACGATTTGCCGATCAGATGTTCGGGCAGCGCCGCGGGCGGCCGGCGCCGCCGCCCGATGACGTCACCGTCCAGTCAGCTGACGCCGCCGCCGCCCGGGCGGTCTCTGGGTGGCGGCGAGAGAAAACGAGGAGCCGCCGGAGAGGAGAGGGAGAGGGGGAGAGCGCCGGCGGGGAGAGGCGGGGGAGGCGAACGGCGAGCGTCGGTCGCGGCGCGCCTGCGCCCGTCTCTCCGCTCAGCATTCACAGAAATAGTGCGCGGTGTTGGCGGCGCGCGGCGCGCCTGTTTGGGTAGGCCGGCTGCCAGCCGTAGACGGCACGGTGGCGGCGCGAGCGACCACGCCGCCGCCCACCGCACAACAGCCGCCCGGCACCTCAGCCGGCTCCGCCCGCGCCTCTTCCGCCGCGCCGCGCCGCGGCTGTTTTTGTCGTGTACCGCGCGGCGCGGCGGATCCCTGCAATGGAGCCATTAGGGAGGGCGCACGCCGCGAATACTAATCTGGGCGGTACACGGGCAGACTGGTCGGAGGTTGACCGGAGTCACCCAGAGGTCGTCCGCTTCGTCTCTGTCTGGACTGACTGGGGTGGACTGGAAACGGACGAAGGGTCGGTTCTGTACTGTACTGTGTGGGTGCGATAAATAAATGCAATTCAGCAGGGCTAACCAGATAGATCGCATCCTTGTCCAGCCCATGTGATACATAAATCGGCTCACTTCTCAGGTTGCTTCCGGAGCAGAAAAGAACAGTCCAACCATGAGATAAATACACCGCCGTCCCCGGTCCACGCGGTTCGCAGACGGACGTACAGCCATGGGCAGACACGCCACTTTTTGCTGTGTGTGTGTGTCGGCGCTGACAAACCCCTGGTCCGGGCGGCGTGTGACATGGACCACGCCGCCCCCGTCTCCCACAGCTGGCCGGCAGTTACACAGCGGCCGCCTGGAGACGCTGGCCGGCCGGCCGGGCCGCGTCCTCTGGACTGTCGCGCCGGCGCGGCGGCGGGGGCGGGGCCGCCACCCTGCATTTGCACGTGGCGCCAGCCCCCCGCGGCGAGTTGCGAAGCGGCCAGTGACCCGCTCGCCGGCCGCCGCCAAAGCCGTGTCGGTATGCATCGTGTCTCCTTCGCTCGTAACCCATCACGGAACAAACGCCTCAAACGAAGTGAACAATGCCGCGCCGCACGCCCGACGCGTGACCTGTCGGAAAGCCGTTGGAGTGCAGGCTTCCTGAGGGTTACCGGCGGTTACCGGATGGTTACGAAATGGTTCCTGGTTGGACCAGGCATTACAAGAGCGCGTGTTTATATACGCCGCGGCCTAAAAATGGGACACATTTGGAGCGTGATCGTGGCTAGAACCAGAACAATAAAATAAATATGGAACTTAAACCAATGATCCAGTAAAACAAAAATTAATTTAAGGAATCATTAAGGTTAAATTTCGAGTGCAGCGACTTCAGTAAGTGCACATTATTTTGTACCGTGACAGCTTTATAGTCCGGTCCGACCTAAAGTCACCTCTGGCTCTGAAGTGACCCGCCCTCTTCCAGGACATCTCGGCACATCGACCTCAAATGTGGGAGCACCGGCCTCACGAAGACAAACTACCAAACGTCAGTGCGCCGGTGAAACACCATTCATTCCGCAGCGCGGCGCAGCGGCCGCCGCCCCCGCCGCCGGCGAGACAAATCTGACGCGTCGGACGCCAGTGCGCCTCGTTTGCCTCCGCTGCGTCCCGAGTGTCACCGGTGCGTTACGGGCGGCGCGGTCACGGCGGCTGGGCGCGCCGACATTCACGGTTTGTGATTGTTGAAAACGAGAGTATAAAGGGGTCCGTGCTGAGCTCGGTAGCTTTGTGGTTCCGCCTGATTTCAGTGTGAGGTCGCACGGACCCGACCCGCCCAGTGCTGGAGGCCGCGGCGGTGGCAGGTTCATGGGGAATTTTATCGCATCGTTCACAGACGTGCTCGTTACAACAACGAGGGAATAGTACCAGTGATGTAGCTCTGACCGTGCCGGTCTCCCCTACCAACCGCGCCCAGTCCGACCACGCTCTACGTTCTACATGACCGAAGACCTCCCCCCCCCCCGGACTCCAGACGCCGACCCGACACCGATCACGTGACCCGCGTCCTTCAGCCCTCGCGGCCGCCCGGCCCGGGCGGACTGGTGAGCCAGCTGATCATATTCCGTGGGTGGATGTTGTGGCTGCGACCCCTCCTCCTCCCCGGCTCAGGTACTCACGTCAGGGTGCTCCTTGATGGGCACGTAGACCTTCTCGGAGAGGGTGACCACCGGCCCCTGCGGCTCCGGCAGCTCCAGCGGCTGTTTGGCGATGCCATTGATTTGGAACAGGTTCGAGCGCACTTTCACGATTTCTGAAAAATCAGAGCGAGTGGTGAGCACATGGTGAAAGAATAACGTCAGGCAAGGTAAACAGAAGGCTGTAATGTAGGTAATAATAAGAAGTATACACATTGCACAGCATGGTCTTAGCTGTACTTTCTCATGGTTCTGAGTGGCAAGGTTATATGCAAATGATATCGCACGGTCGATCGGTTTCGAAAGGGAGCAGTGACATCTGCGCTCTCCAGTCCATATTTTAGCGACTGTATGGGAAGTCCGCACTGTGGAGCAAGCAGCCCGGTTTCATCCAGTCCAGCGGGGCGACCCGGCCAGTCCAGAGACGCTGGCGCAGCGCGGGGACCGAGGGCCGCTCCAGTCGGCCTCTTTATCGGGTCGGCCGCGTACGGACCTAATCGCCTTACTGGAAAACGATTACGGCCGGGAATTAATGCCGCTCTGGCAGGGCGTCGGCCGGCCGCCTGCAGAGCGGCCTCTCAAACGGGCGGCTTACGGGCGCTCCGCCCTGAAGGAGAGCCGCAGAGCCGGCCAGCCGCCCCCGCCCGCGGCGGGCGGCGGACCGCCGGCGGCTGCCCCCGCCCGACCGCCGCCAATTGATCACCGTATGGCTCTGCCGACCTTGCTGCACCGCCGAATCGTTCCTGGAAATGCTCTGCCGTTCTGGCCGGGCACGAGCTGAGCGGCGGCGCGGCGCGGCCGGTCGGCCTGCCATCAGATACGGACGGTTATCTCCCACGAGATCCGGCGCGGCAGCAGCCCAGAGGCGCTGACGGCCAGTCGAGGCGGATCGTCGCGGATACGAGCAGATCGCGATCAGCGGCAGCCGCCTGCAGTGCGGGACCCCGGGCTGCTCCGGCGGCACACGCCACGGCGTGCCTGCGCTGTAGGCGCCGCGACCGCCCGCCGCCGACCAGCGCGAGAGGAGAAACTTGGAAAACGATCAGCGCCGGCCGGACGGATGGACCACGCAGTGGGAGACCGGTGCCGGTCTCAGAGGCGCAGAGAGGCAGGTGTGGGTCTGACCCAGCTGCAGCCACTGCCGGAGATATGTCCGCCGCGTTCCTCCGCGAGCCGCTGATTCTTCATGGCGCGCCATTATTCCAGTGGCGCCTGAAGTAGGTGCGCTGACCGCCGCCGGCCAGTCCGCCACAGACGGAGCGCATTAGCCGCGGCGCACCGCCGGCGCAATGGGTTATAAACGAGCTGCTGACTGGCCGCGCTCCCGGGGTGCAGCGCCACGCTGGCCCGGCCTGCACCGAGCTGGGAGGGAGGACTCGCGGCGGGCCGCCCCGCACGCCCCTCACTCGTCAAAATAGCAAATAAACAAACAGCGATACGGCATGTGAGCCCGAACTGGACTGGGTCGGCGCCGCGGCCGCCAATGTAAGCTGGTCAGCGAGGCGCCGTGATCGGCCGGCCGGCCGCGCCGAATGAACCAATCAACGAAACAATGCAATTAGCGGCTGACACAGCGGGAGAGAGCCGGGCCGCGGGTCACTGCTGGGCGCCGATCTATTGCCGAGGCCGATCACCAGCCGAGATCGGCACCGCCGGCCCACCGGCTCCGGCCATTGGATGGTTGTCTGTGCAGTTCCGGCTCCAGTGAGGTATGCCGGAGGTGAGCACTTGTTCAGCCAGCGGCGCCGCCCATGAAGGAGCTCGCGCTCACGAGGCCGCGTCACGTTATGTGACGTCACGCGTCACGGGCTACGGCGGCCAGCTGACGGCGGGAGCGACGCTGCGTGACGAGGCGTCACCGCGCGCACCCCTGGCCCGCTGACCGACCCGAGTCACGCCGAAACGTCACGATACGGGGCGTCACGTAACGGACGTCACTCCGAGATTGAATGAGGCTGACCGAGACCGTCACGAATTCCTTCGGCGAGAGCACCTTGGTCTCATGAACCGCCTCGGTGACCGGCCCGGGTGAAGTCCAGGTCACTCTGCCGTGTCGGGGCGGGGCGCCGGTGCCGGGGGCGGTGCCGAAAGACACCGCCGCGCCGTGTGCCACCGATACGGACCGAGACGCGCATTGTCGTCCACCGTCCGGACCTTTCACCGTCGTCGCCGGCGTCTCGGCGCCCGTTTTCTCTGGCGGTACAATACGCAGCAGGTGCCGCTCGGTCCCCGGCTTCATATCCACCTGTCCGGGCCGACTTCACCTGTCCCGGGCCACCGCTCGAGCCGCCGCAGCCGGACGCACAGAGATGGAACTTTGACAGGCCCGCTCCACAATACCGCCGAGAGTGGTTGGAGGGACAAAAAGCGGGCACATGTGTCTGTACGAAAGGGTGGAGCTCGCGCGGGAGGTCGACGGGCCGAAAGCCTCGTGTGTGTGTGGAGGCACCCACCCGGAGAATCGTCCGTTTCAACAGCACCAACTGTGATAGTGATTCTTAGAGCGAGTGCCCTCGGGAGATATCATATATTGCAGCAATTGGCTGTTTGGAACGCAATGTGTCACAGGGAGGGCAGATGTAATGGTTTACGTATATATGATACGCAAAACCGCTGCAGCTTGACTTAGTAATCATAGTGGGAAATAATTTAGGAGTGTTAAATCTGGAAAACAAAAGGACTTGTCATAGGCAATATCCTTGAATGGACCATGCGTTCCAGAATTTTAAGGTTTGTGGGACAATTAAACCTAATGACCGACCATACCAAATGAAAACATTTAACAGCAATTTCGGATAATAGCCACACTGGGGTGGTCATAGGAGCTAATGAGTTTAATTAGCATAAACCAAACTGGAAGGTCGCAGACCACAGCACTGCAAAGCGAACACAATTAAGTCATGAACAACATCAAACAAGACGTAAGAAAGAAGAGTGCTGGAAGAAGCCACCACTAAATTTTAACTCAGCTGAAGGCGCATGCCATTTAAATTACATCCCAGTCATTCATGCACTATAAAGTAGCATGACAACCCTGTTACCAACGGCGAAACAGGCAAATAATAAACACCGCTCGAAGGCCTCCGCGATACATTTTTGTATCTATCCGACGAACTCCAAGCCAAATAGTTGACACCAAGAATGCATAGCAATGTAAACACTCTAGTCAAGACACATGAATGTTACGGCTGCAAGTCTAACAAGAGCAAATGTCAATGTTAATACATACTGGTTATGTGACGTTTAAAGCTACGTCTCACATTATTCGCAGGAAGCAGCATTGAACGTTAGCCAACTAGGATATCTTACCTTCGTCAAGCAGTCTCTCGACGTGAAGAAAAACGTTAGGAAAGGCAGCAAGCTGCTTCCGATCTTTTAGTAGTTGTGCTAGGTAGTCAGCTATGCTCTGTGTGTTGTTAGTAGATTCACCCATGATTATTAGCCTAGAGAACTACCTGCTAGTGCGACAAAGAGACTCGGAACCCAACTGACGTGCTGCCGCCGCCGCCGCCACTTCCCTTCCTTCTCCAGAGACCGGCCTCAGTGCGCATGCGCCCGCCGCGAATGGTTGTCACTAGAGGTCGGGCCAGGCCGGGCGGCGGGTAGCCCGCCAGCCGTCGAGCCCCCGCGCCGGCCGCGCTAGGCTCCGCCCGCCGCCGACCGGGGGCTGGCAGGGAGCCGTCGAGCCGACGGCCGCCGAGGCCCGCAGGTAACGATACAGTGGAGAAATCACCGCCGGTATTCCATGATCCAGTCAAACTCTTCAAATGCCTCCTGCAACAGACAGAGTGGTATGTTGAGCAGACGTGGTGCATGAGTCGAGCATGCGTTGCATAACAATGACAGGGATTTGGTCGGTCGCGGGCAACTGTTCGGAGAGGACATCAGTTACCAGTAGCTCATTGACGTGGCTGTCGCATATATGAATTGCAGACATGTGCATGGATCCGAGAGCTGGATCTATGATCTCAGTGGATCTCTCGACAAAATTGAGGGGTTGGATCTATGCTCCGAGTGGATCTCTCGACAAAATTCAGGGGTTGGATCTATGATCCGAATGGATCTCTCGACAAAATTTAGGAGTCGGATCTATGATCTCTGTGGATCCAGCGGGCAAACATTTGTGGAGGACCTATGATCTGTATGGATCTCACGACAACATGTAGCCAATGAAACCCTTATCCTACATAATTGTACACCTAACAGTGCAATACAATTGAGAATTGTCACTTGTGGACATGGTTAAGACCAGTTGTAATCATTAGGTATCATCATGAAATTTGAATTTAAATCAACAACATTTGTACTACATTTAAAATAAACTAAGAACATGCACATTGCTACTTTCTTTTACCAATTGTTACTTTTTCATGACAGCAAGCCACTTTAATTTAATGAACAAACAGTACAGACAGATGCAGTGGCAGCGGGGCACTGCAGATTTTCATTTTGGTCCCATTTTTTCCATGCAACGCCAGTAGGGCTAATGTTAAAATGCCAAAATCTATGGGGGGCACTGTACCCTGGTGCCGCCCCCCCCCCCCTGTTCCGCCGCCTATGGACATATGTTAGGAAATCAAACCTGGAAGCCAAATAGGTCAGTTTTGCTAAAAATAATCCAGCAATCCACTTCTGCCAGGTATGAAATCCCAATCCAGAATGTTCGTATGAGCTATTAGTATGTGCAACACAATTTCGATTTAGTAAGAATAGCAACCAACCTCTAATACTTTCCTAATAAAAATACAAGTTCAAAAATGGCATCAACTTCTTCAGATTACCTACTTCTGGCATCGTGCCACGTGTGGTGCCATGCTGTGCTTTCGTTATGAGAGAACCTCCCAAAAAAAGACAAACGAAATTCACAGCTCACGTTTTGGTAATATTGTTTTATTACGTCATTATCGTTTGACCAATGAAAAATCTCAATTTGACTAAATCCGTAATGATTCCAAAAGATTCCCCGTAATAGGCCATTCAAACTAATGACGTAAGATATTGTGATTCTTTTGAAAAGTGAATAAAATAAAGATGCAAGGCGCACACCCGGCTCAGGGCCATGTAATACCGTTTCAGCTTACGTTTAAGTCATTAAATTCAACGCTACAAAGATGATATTCACAAACAATCGTATCGTAAAATCATGTGAGGCAGAAAAAAACGAACATCCTTTTGAAAAAACTCCAGACTTTTGCATTTCCAGTTTGATTTTTTATTTATTTTCATTATACTCGAAGGTAGAACGCTAAGCTCATTTGTTATTTGAAATGACGTCACGAGTTCTATTTAGATACTGAATAATCATTTTACGGTAAATATCCAAGGCCATTACAATTGATATTTCGCTTCCCATCGCTTCCGCAGGCTGTTCACTGGCGGATCCAGGGGGGGGCCACGGGGGCCATGGCCCCCCCAAAGGCCTAAAGTGGCCGGTTTGGCCCCCCCCCAAAACGTCCGAAAAAATGCTAAGAAAATATACCTTGATGGAGGTTTTTAGCCACTTGGTGAAGTAAAGCTTTCCACAGCATAATATGGAAGCAATATGGTAGCAGTGAGGGTCAGTCAAAAGTTGCGCGAGAGGAGTCGACCTTAAAAAAAAGACTGTTGTTGGCACGTGTTTATGGCGCGGCAGCTGGTAGTTGGCGGTGTTTCGCGTGGTGTGGCATCACTGGCCGATCCAGGGGGGGGGGGGGCACGGGAGCCTGAGGTGCCCCTGACAGGTCCATGGTGCCCTTGCTAGGCCTGTGGTGCCCCTGGACCCTGGCAGGCCTGTGGTGGCTCTGGCGGGCCTAGGGTGCCCCTGCTAGGCTGCTGATGCCCCTGGGACCTGACAGGACTGCGGTGCCCCTGACAAGCCTAAAGCGCCCCCAACAGGCCCGTGATGTCCCCGACAGGCCCAAGGTGCCCCTGCGTGATGCCGTGATGCCTGCGAGGCCGGCAGGGCCCCTGACAGGACCATGGTGCCCCTGCGAGGCCGGTGGTGCCCCTGGCAGGTCTCTGGTGTCCCTGACAGACCTGGGGTGCCCCTGACAAGCCTGTGGGCCCCTCACAGGCCCGTGGTGCCCTTGCTAGGCCTGTGGTGCCCCTGGCGGGCTGGTGGTGCCCCTGCTAGGCCGGTGGTGCCCCTGACAGGCACCACCCGGGCACCAAGGGGGGTCATGACCCATGTGGCCCCCCTTGGATCTGCCACTGATACATAATATATTGATTTGTAAAGGCTAGACCGGTGGTGCCCCTGGCAGGCCTGTGGTGCCCCTGCTAGGCCTCTGGTGCCCCTGCAAGGCCGGTGGTGCCCCTGTAAGGCCTGTGGTACCCCTGCTAGGCCTCTGGTGCCCCTAACAGGCCCATGGTGCCCCTGCGAGGCCGGTGGTGCCCCTGGCAGGTCTCTGGTGTCCCTGACAGACCTGGGGTGTCCCTGACAAGCCTGTGGGACCCGTCACAGGCCCGTGGTGCCCTTGCTAGGCCTGTGGTGCCCCTGGCGGGCTGGTGGTGCTCCTGCTAGGCCGGTGGTGCCCCTGCTTGGCCGGTGGTGCCCCCGGGCACCAAGGGGGGTCATGACCCATGTGGCCCCCCTTGTATCTGCCACTGATACATAATATATTGATTTGTAAAGGCGTTATGGCTTATGCAATATGCAATTGCAGGCACTTGGTATCCCTCACTTATCCCTCATTGGGGGCTCTGGCGGGCTCCTGAGGGCCCACGTCTAGCTCCATTCTCCGGGAGCCATAGACGGGCTCCTTTGGGTCCTTTCAGTCCACTACAGCATAAGAGGTCTCCACGCAAGTCCTATACATCTGAGGGCGTACCCTGACGTCTGAGGTACCCAACTGCAGCTCCAATGGTCTCTTACACTGGCGGATCCAGGGAGGGGGCATTTAGGGCCATGCCCCTTTCCCAGAGGCCTAAAGTGGCCCGTTTGCCCGTCCCCCAAACGATAATGAAACATAGTTCAATCAGTGCGTGGCCCAGGAGCCGAGTTAGACTGGGGGTGTTTTACCACCTCCCGGCCCGCAAAGGGACCCAAGAACTGACTCGAAGCGGGTTAACTGGTCGACAAAAGCAATGGTAAGTGTTCACAAAGTAATATAAAGGCATGGGTCGGGTGGACTACCATTTATATATTTTTCTTTTTAGTTAAAAAAAAAATTAATAGTGTCAGAGCTGTGACGAAAAATAAGTGGCCTAAATCCGATGAGAAAACAGGATTTGGGGGTACCCTAGGTTTGGCTCCGCATGAGTTGGCCCCCCCCCCCCAAAACGCAAGCCTGGATCCGCCATTGAGGCTGTTGAATATTTTTATACTTTTCTCAGTTTATTTTATCAAATATTTCTTTCAATAGTTTGAAATACCTTTACCTAACCAAGCCACATGTGTCAGTATCATCTTTTATTGTTTATCAATCAATTGTGTTAGCCGTAAACTGGAAAGCCTCATGGTTGTCTAATGCAAGATTGTCTTATCAATATCATTATGTAGATTCTAACATGAATTGTGATGTGGTAGGTGCCTAGTAATGTATCGTTCATTAGTCATTACTTTGACTTACCTACCTCTATGTTAATTGTTAATGCAAACTTTTCTGTTGGTATGTGAACAATCTTCATGTCACTCAATTCTCTCAAGTTGTGACCGTCATGAGCCTCCTTTATTTTGTATTCTGTATAATGTAACTGGACTTTACTCATATGGCCTTTGTATAAGATTGCTTGTTTCTAGCCATACTTTGGTATTCATAACTTTTTATGAAAGAAAGTTGTTAACATTTTTGAGCACCTATGAGCTATGATCCCAATGGATCTCACGACGAAATTGGGGAGCCAGATCTATGATCCGAGTGGATCTAGCGACAAAATTGAAGGGTCAGATCTATGATCCCAGTAGATCCCTCGACAAAATTGAGGGGTTGGATCTATGATCTGAATGGATCTCGGATCGGGATCCATGGGATTGGATCTCAGATCAATTTTTCCGGATCCAAGCACATGTCTGATGAATTGTGTGATGATCTCAGGCGATTGATCATACAATGCCGCTGACTAGCATCAGGTCCAAAAGAGTAGCGCAGTGCCAATCGACAACGACAGCGAAATGCAACAGCTGATAGTTTGAGGGTCTCAAACTGCATAGGCAAATGGATAAATGGGTGGAGAATCGAGATACCAACGACAGATTGACACCTTACAGGAACAAGACGAATACCTGCCAAATTAAGCTGACTCACCAGACACGAACTGATTTTATTAAGCCCATGGTCACTCGTTTGAGATATTATGTTGTTTGGTTGGCGATTAGCGAGTCTCGTTATACTTACCTCTCAACATTCGCGATGATGCCCAGCTCTTCTTCGCCCAGTTGTTGTGATCAAACTCTTGGACTTGATCACGTTCAGCCTCCAGACTATGGTGTTCCAGACGTCTCCTGTCATAAGGCATTTCTGAAAGCGTCTTCCGGCTGTCATGAAGCTGGGAACGCGAAATATTTTGGCTGGAACGAAATAAGATTTTTTGCATCCAAGGATCATTTGATAACAACACGAATGAAAAGAAAAGAAAAAAGTTTGGATACAATGTCATGAATAGTATAGAGACACATACAGAGAGAGGCATGGGGAACCCATCAGAATCTTCCAAATCTACATAAACATATCAATATATAGGTACGTGATAGGTACTCAGTAGCGGCGGAACACCTTCAATTAAGGAGGGGGGGGGGGGGGTG